GATGACAGACCCAATGCAGCATGCCGGAAGAGCATCTCCGGCACAAGAAACCGTTCATTCGTTAAGTCAAACTCCTAAAAAGGATCACACAAACGAATGGAAGAAAACAAAAGAACAAAAAAAAAATGGCAATGGCACAACTTGGATGAACACGGCAGTTCTAGTCACCTGCATCCACAACTTCTGCCGCAACAAAGGCCCCGTTTCTGGCATTCTCAAAGGCTATGTCGGCTTAAGCACCACCATATTCACCGACCTCTACTCTGCTCTCTTCGTCGACGACCCTACATCCTTTCTAGTCATGCTCGCTCTCGTTCCATTCGTTGTTTGCCTCTCTGGAATCTTTTTCCTCCGCGAGATTCCTCCCGCTGTCGCCCAGGAGGACGACCAAGACTCATCCTATTTCGGGGTTTTCAACACAATCGTCGTGGTCGTTGCCCTTTACCTCTTGGCTTTCGGGTTCCTGCCCAACCCCAGCGCTTTGGTGTCTTGGGCGTTCGCCGTGGTTTTGGTTGTTCTGTTGGCGGCGCCGTTGGGAATTCCGGTCCACTCTTACTTGAAATCGAGAGGGTTGAAAGAGGGTGTGGATGTGGATGTGGAGGAAGCATTGCTTGTCGAAAACGTGAAGGGGAATGAAAGTGAGCCGGAGTTCTTTCCTAGGGTTTCGGGTGTACGCGCACTATGTTGAACAAGATGTCTTTATTAGAAAGAGGGAAAGGAAATAATAGGAGGGAAATTTAAAAAATAATATTTTAATTAATTAAAATAATATTATCCAGGGTTTCTAAAAAACATTTGGCACTTTCCCGGGGTTTGAAATCAAACCCCTATAATTTAACTAGGGTTATTAAAACTCCCGTAAATGTTTACGTTTCCAGGGGTTAAAGTAATCCCATTTAAATAACCCCAGTTAAAAACATTCTATACTGTTGTGAATGAAAATGTTAAAATATATATTTCTAACTTGAATATATACTAATCAACTCAATACATTATAATAACTCATCACATTATTCAATTAAACACATTACAACGCTTCATAACAACAAAGTCATATAAATGATAAAATGTCTAATTATTGAACGTTTGAATGCAAGTAATTAAAATAACCTCCATTAATGAAGAAATAGAAAGAAAAAAAAGACATTTTAAACAACTAGCCTTAAATTACAACTTAAAAAAAATTAAACCACTTAATATTATTTGATCATGAGCATCTTCAAATCATGAAGGTGCTTCATAATTCGAAAATTTTCAACTTTGTTATTTCAATTTAGAACAAAACTTTTATACAAATAAGTTCTTTTATTCCAAGAAAAGAAAAAAAAATAATAATAATGAACAAAAAATTATCTACAATCTCTTATTACAAATCAATCTATATCTTATAATTGATCGAAATGCAAGACTTTAGCAATGTCACTCTTATGCTATATAAATATGATCAAGCCACCAACACACATAACAAGAATAAAATTACATGAGATTGAATGTGGAACACTTCCTAAAACTTATTGATGTAGTTATAAGATCTAAATAAACTTTTCTCACTTTTCATCTACTCTATCTTCAATAATATTAATGAACATTGCTCTAAAAAAGAATGCAAAATAAAGGGTGAGACAATTGTTTGACAATGTTTGGGTGTTACAAGAACCAAACCAACTTTCCCGAAAACCCACAACCGTAACATATTCTAAATTTTTAATACAATGTTCAATTATAATGTTATATAATTTGGCATTCTTATTTATTATTAATATTATTATCATTATTATTATTATATTCTTAAAAATAATAATATCAATTTTTGGTTATCATATTTTAAAGGATAAGATATGTGTGCCTAATGATTTAGAAATTAAGAAAATAATTTTAAGTGAGGCACATAAGAGCAAGTTGAGCATACATCCTGGTGTAACAAAAATGTATTAGGATCTCAAGAAAATGTTTTGGTGGCCTAAAATGAAAAAAGAAGTAGTACAATATGTAGCTAGATGTTTGATTTGTCAAAAGACCAAGATAGAACACAAAAAACCAGCAGGCATGTTGTGACACCCTCTAACCCAACATAATAATAC